AAAAAAAAAAAAAAAAAAAAAATTTGTAATTTTGATGATCTGAAATTAAGGCTTATTTTGCTCTATCTCCATTATTTACGGAGATACGGCCGTTTTAAGTTTTGGCTATTTTCAAAAACCAAAATCCTAGTTTTGGAGTGTTTTTACGGTTTAGGTCCATTCGCTATCATGGCCCAGACTACCTTCTATTTTTTCTTCTACAATTTTATGATTTTAAGTAATTCTAACAACCAAATAAAAAAAAATAAAAAAAAAAATTTGTAATTTTGATGATCTGAAATTAAGGCTTATTTTGCTCTATCTCTATTATTTACGGAGATACGGCCGTTTTAAGTTTTGGCTATTTTCAAAAACCAGAATCCTAGTTTTAGAGTGTTTTTACGGTTTAGGTCCATTCGCTATCATGGCCCAGACTACCTTCTATTTTTTCTTCTACAATTTTATGATTTTAAGTAATTCTAACAACAAAAAAAAAAAAAATAAAAAAAAAAATTTGCCCATGTCTGTTCGCCATGGAATTAAACTCGTCAATATTGACACGTAGTTTGACACTTCTGTTTTTTATTATGACTAAAATGGTGAAAATTTTTTTCAAAAGTATGGCCCCTAAAAAATTTACAGCCAAGACAAAATTCACGAGTCAACTTCAATGTTTGAACATAAAAACAAAAAAAAACCACACACGATTACAGCTGCAAATAGTTTTGAACTATTCAATCTGGCATTGAACAACAGGAAAAAAAAAGTTTTTCTTGTCAAAAAAAATATGTCAATGCTCTAATAGTAATTTTCCTATGTATAGGGCTTAGTAGACGATTTATCACGCAATCAAATAAGAAATATTTTTTGCGAAATGAGGTGAAAATTCAAAGTTTTATCGATTTTGAGGTGATGAAATAAGAAATTCATAAAAACTCAGTTCATTTTTTCGTAGTCATTAACTTACTCTCCTATTGATAAAAAATAAAGAAATTTTTCAACTCACCTGAAGCAAGGCAGACAACGAGAAGAGCGGCGAAAACTACAGCGAATCCTTTCATGATTGTATTTTTTTAAATTATTTTTTATTCGTCTAGTTTGACCTCACTCTATGTTCGTATGATGCTTGAATACTTGCGATGCTTGGCGCGGTTCGTGATTTTATACGAAAAACCCAACGCACGTCCCACGCGCGCGCGCGAGCGGCTGACGTCATATTGGCGGAAAAATAAACAGTAGATTCGCGGGCCGGTAGGGTAGAAACGCGCGTACGATATGCCGGTAAAACGAGACGAGCTCGCGAGAAGCGCATTTCACTTCCGTCAACAGAAAGCGCCACGGCCCCGGAACTATGCGTTACTTACTTTATGTACCAAATTATGGTTTGCTTATTCAAACGGTACATATTTCGTAAGAAAAAAAATCAATTTTATTTTTATACATTTGTTTTATGAGAAGAAAATTCACTACAACAATTTTTATTTTTAGCTTTAATTCATGCTATTACCGTTGGATTTCGGGGTTTCACTTTTTCCCCGGATGCAAAATAATTCAACAAATATTGGTTCAATGAATACAAGATTTTTGCTTGAGTCATATTTGAAGATGAAATAAATTTTTCCAATTTGACACTGATGCAATGTTTCTTTAGCTTAATTATGTACTCGCGTACTTGAAACCAAAGTCTAATGAAAGCGAGTTTGCGGCATCATTTTTGTTATCATCTAGAAGTCTTACCGAATTATCTTTAGTTAAGAAATTTAACTTAATTTTTTCTCATTGCATTATCTTCCTCCAATTTAAATAATCTACAAGTGACTGTAATCAATATGTTTTCGTAAAAATTACAAGATTTTTATTTGAGATGAAGTAAACAGAGTAGTGCAATGAATTATTAGTACAAAAAATTTGTATAAAAAAGTTTATTGCCGTATTTTAATCAATATTACATTTTTTTTGCTTTACGGAAGCAATACATAATGCCATTTTTTGTTACAATCATTTCGTTATGATTACATAAGAAATAACATGATTGAAATGCAATTAAATGACCAGTTCGATCGGTTCCTAACGAATTGTCCACTATATTTCACAAACAACTAAATTTTGTTCAAACAATTGAATCGTTTTAAAGATAAATCATAATTTTTTGACTACTATTTACAAATTATCCCGTACTCTCATCTGCAGAAGCATTTTGGTATACACATGAACTTATTAATACTAACATACTGTACACTTTATACTGATATCTTTCGCAGTCAACAGTCACGTTGATTACAAAATTTCCTCGCCCTCGAGAAATCTCGTGATCCATAAGCTAGTTACACCCCGCTCTGTTAGCTCCCCTATGATAAATTCTACTCCCTAGTTCATGAAAATACACGTTTTTTGTCATTTCATCAATTTACCAATAATTTTAATACTACATTTCTTTCCGTGCGGCCATAAATAAAATAAAATACGCATTTTCACCAAAAGTGCGATAAAAATCGGTAAAACTAACAACAAACAAGCCAGAACAAAGTAAATCGCGTCAGTCGTACCGATATACACATAACGAAATCAAACAATAATAGTCAGAATTTCGCACAGCCCAGTCTCCTCTCGGACCACCACAAGACCCCCAACAACCTACGTGTCTGCCGTCATTTAAAATAACTTTTCGCGCGATTGTACGGTTGCAGGATGATTACCCACGAGGCAGTGTTTTTATTACGTCGTCTTTGTCTATCCTGAACAATAAACGGCATCAATGATAAAATTCGCTCCGAATCGTCAAGTCGCCGTACATATCTTTCCTACACTTGTTGTTGTTTTCTATATCACAGTCATCAATGTACACGATCATGCTCCCGGCCGATAATCCACGGTGATACTCTTGAGAAACGTGTAAATCTCCTTGAAGCTCGGCCTGCTCGACTCCTCCCTTTTCCAGCACGAGCACATGACTTTGTAGACGCTTTCCGGGCACATCATTGGTTTCGGCAGTAGTACCTTTCAATGTACAAATAGACGGTTTGGTCAACAAAATAAAATAATTTATCATCAACCACTTAATATTCAATGGCGCACGCTCACTTGTAATTCACTTCCGTAGTACATGAGTTCTGCGTTCTGGATGACTAGTTCGTTCGTCAATTGCTGGAATGGTTTTTCCCGGGCGAAGCTCATCACTTCCCAAAGTGTCACTGCGAAAGACCACACGGTACTCGAGCACGTGTATCTATCCTGAAAACACCAAGAGGACGTCACATGGTAAACAGCGGGGAATACCCGTTGCCGATCTTTTTTTTTTTTTTTTTTTTTAATAATAAAGAGATCGGTAACCGGTATTTTCTAACGAAAACAAAAAAACATATTTTTATTCACTACGAGAATCAAAAATTTACGCTTGTTTTGACGAGGAAGTGACTCAGATGCTTGTTTTGTCTCTGCGCATACATACACGTTTATCGCAATATAATACAGCTTACACACGTGTTTCGCGCGCAATCAGTGTTATCTCGCCCGTTCGCCGCGATCGAGTTTCTTTTTTTTCCCCTCCTCCCAACTTTCTTATCGGTCGGGGGAAATCCAAGCCTGTACTTTGCATTTCAAAAGCTTGTGCAGATAACACTGTATGCACTCACGTGCCGCATATGCACAATGCATCCGATATCCGAAAGAAAAGAAACTTATGGACGTAAAACACGATATATGTGGGGAAGAGTGGGTGTGTGGTTGCGACAGACGTCATTTTGGTAAAACTGTAAGGTAAAATTGGGGGCTGACAAGGGTAGGGAGGAGTGACGGTCCCGTCTGAGTATACATTATGCCACAGTGTTTCGTGAACCATCGCGCGACATTAACGACAGAAAAGGCCCACATCACTGTTCAACAGTGAAAAGTAAATATTTATTTTATTGATTTTTATTCAATAGTGATTTTTTTTTTTTTAAAGTGCATTAGGTACGGTTATGATGGGATACCAGTGTGGGTGACTTATCGTTCAATGATTTTTTTATAATGTGGTATTTATTTAGTATTTCGACTCAACTATTACAACGTATAAACACACATGTTTAGTTAATTTTTTTGATTGATTGTGTCATGAAAATTTATCGTATTATAATTAAAAATTCTGTAGTTAACTATTAGTTAAGCTTTCCTGGGGTATCGTCGGTTGTAACAAATTTTCTTTTTCATAACTTGCTCTTGTGACCAAACGGTTGCACTTTAGGATAAAATTTTAGTATTTACACGTAGAAAAATATGTATAATTTACGATAAAAAATATTTTCCACGTAGACATCTGCCATACGAACAGGGGGTCATTGATTGTCGAGTGAAAAATTGTCGCAACCGTACCCAGTCTGCGCTATCTTCCGTATTTCAAAGTTTATTGTGAACTTGCATTTTGCACGTCCCCAACAATTTCCCGAGACAGATGTGTAAGCCATAAGAAAAATGGCACCTTACCAGCAGTATACTCTCCCAGGGTAGCCACCTGATGGGCACAGGCACTTTGCCACCGATGTCCGCGTAATCCTTCTTGTACAGATCGCTGCACATGGCTATGTCCGTCACTTTGACCGTGTAGCATCTGCCCAGGAGACAATTTCTCGCCGCCAGGTCCTTGTGGGCGAGATTTTTCGACTCGAGGTAACGCATCGCCGACGCTATCTGCGCCCCCATGTACAGCAGGCAGTTCTGACTGATGCGTCGTGGATGAAAAGAAAAAAAAAAAAAAATGAAGTTATCGACCACAATAATCACACGAGCGCGTCGTACTCGATCGTATGGAGGCATGGAAGCTATATGGTTTATCAAACGCGACACGTGGGAGTCCGAAATAGCCGTATTTAGCGCGCGCCACGAGTAATATCACGTTTCCCCGGGTCCCCTTTTGATTTCAATAACACTTTCGAAAAGTCATTACCCACACGAAGGACGAATTAAAGCGAGAGAGAGAGAGAGGGGTACCGACCGGCTAAATGCACCCTGGCACGCGAATGCACCCACGGAAAATTAATCAGACTTTCGCGGCGTCACCGTACGCTCTTCCGTTTACGGTGACTGGGACCACATAATGGACCCTGGAATACACGAAAACTCCAACAATAGAGGCACACACGCACGGAGGGGATGCTTTGCAAAATTGATTCGGCCGTTGTCGTAGGAAGGAAGGAAGGCTTGGGGGAGGGCCGGCGGTGGCTCGTAAATCGCTCGAAATTACACGTCCGCGCGGGATGCATGAAAAATTCAGAGACCTGCCGAACCGGGTCACGTGTCTATATGCAAAGTGAGGGGGGAGGTGCACCTGATGAAATTCAGGCTGCAGGTGGGTCTCTGGGTGCCGACGAGGGGCTCGCTGTACTGGAGGTAGTGGGCCAAGTCGCCGAGCTCGGTGTACTCGATGATCGTCCAGGGCCGGGTTGGCTCGCCGGAGTCGGGCCATAGGACGCCGAGGATGCGGGCGAGGTTCGGGTCGGCCAGACTGGACAGCATCCGGAGCTCGCGGATGCTCGACGACGTCGGCGATGGGGATGACTCGCTGGGCTCCGAAGACGACGACGACGAAGATAGAGACGGTGGGGCCGTCTCGCTCGCGGTGCTGGGTATCCTGGCCACGGCGAGGCGAAGGGGCTCGCTCGTCGAAGAAACGGATTTAGGGCCCAGTGGGAGGTCCGACAGGCCCAGAATCGCGCAGACCACCGCCTGGAATTTTTTTTTTCTTAATGTCTACTACACTTTTTAATATTGATAAAATATCCTTAAAAAAGCATGAATACGTTGAACAAAATAAAAAAAATTAAAAATATTAGGAATTAACTTAAGGGAAATTTTGAAGGTTCGTATTGATCTAGTGAAAAGCATGGCGCTCTGTTATTTTGTATTATTATTATTTTTATTACAGAGTTTTTATATATGATTACGTAAATACACGTTCACTTGATTTCGTCATCGCACATCGCTTGATAAATGTTTGGATTGAAAAAAAGAAGCAATCGCGTCAGCACAAAACGTGGGAAAAACATTAACCAAATTCGATTGCGGAAACAACAAGCTTCGCTCGCGCTCTGTCGAGCAAATTGAATTTCCGAGTAACAATTTCTTTTTTTTTTATGAAAGTGTAAAATTTAAATTTTGTACACAGTATAATCTCGTATATCCAATATCGCGGGGGCGTGCCTTACAACTTAACTCGGCGTGCATCGGCCGGATTACACCTGTGCCGTTTGTGCAAAGAGCCCAAAGAGGGGTATACGTAAAACCATGAGCCGGCGGACGCCAATAATTCCAAAGCCTGCAAAAGTTATTCCCACAGAGAAGAGAAGACAAACCGAGTATACCTGCACGCGTTGGAATTTCCGGCTGTACCTCGTGATTAGCAACCCATGGAGGAATCGGCACGGGGGGATGGCTTACACACTGTGCGCGAGGAAAGAGGGAGCAACGCGGAACAATAATAATACTTAGGCTCGGGCATCGGATGCACGCTGGCTTATCGTGTTAGATATGTACCTCGCCTATATGACCGGAACCAAGTTTCTCCATTGTGTGCAGACATTGGCCGGGTATGTTGGCGGGCTCTATCTCCTTGCATTTGTAAGGCTTGCCCTGGCTCGGCGCTATGTTCCATCTGACTACCGGTGCCGGTACCTGCAACCAGTAGCCACACAATTTGTGCGTGTGTGTAAATTATTGGCAAGTTCTCTTAGCTCTTTGCTACAGCCTCTCTCTCTCTCTCTGTGGTCGACTCGTACTTTGTGAACTTCTCTTTGGCCCCTTCTCTCTAACTCCATTCGGAAGCAAATTGCGATAAGCGCCCGTGTAGGCGAGAGAGAGACCGAGAAAATCCCTTTATATCTGTGCGCGTGTGTACGCGTGTGTTTTGGGTGGCATTAGCTTCCGCCGCAACAAGCGGGAGTGCCCAATGCAATGCTCTCTCTCCTTCCCCGTTTTCCGGTGCTCGTCCAGGGGCTTTCGCGTAATTGCGCGCTGGTTTGCGCATTAGCGTCATTGTTGCGAAACGTGTGTGCGGTTGTACCTATTTTTCATCTTTTTTTTTCCCCTCATGAATGCCTTGGTTTCTATTTTGCGTGCTCTTTTATTGTCAGTCTTGCGTGAAATATTTTTTAAAACCTCATTACGTGAATTCAATGGCGTAATTGCTCTATTGCAGCGTCTCGTTTGTAAGGATACTGAGTTGCAAAATTACTTGCTGTTACAAACTATACTTTTTCCATTGAATTAGTTGTTTACTGATGTGCACTACTCTGATGTAAAAAATGAAGTAAAATTGAGGGACAGCAAGAGAAGTTTTTTTTAATTACTCCTTTCGATAGAGCGAAACCTTAAAACTACTCGTTTCAAGAAATTTACGAAATTAATCCGTCTGTCTTTAATTTTCGTACTTTTTTTTGTCCCAGAGTGTAGTTTAAAACGATCAAGCAGTATTTATTTTGACCAGCCAACGTTTTAAAATCAATCACGAATCTAAATTCACCTAAACATCGCAGCCGTCTGACCATCATCGATCTATACTACTGATTCTAAAACGACACTGTACCAAAATAGCCTTTACCGTGAAATCAAAAAATCTCTAGTATAGAAAGATCAAGCAGTATTTATTTTGACCAGCCAACGTTTTAAAATCAATCACGAATCTAAATTCACCTAAACATCGCAGCCGTCTGACCATCATCGATATATTCTACTGATTCTAAAACGACACTGTACCAAAATAGCCTTTTCCGTGAAATCAAAAAAATCACTAGTATAAAACGATCAAGAAGTACTTTTATTGACCAGCCAACGTTTCAAAATCAATTTTATCGCTTACGAATCTAAATTCACCCAAACATCGCAGCCGTCTGACCGTACTCGATCTATTCTACTGATTTTAAAGTGACACTGCACGCACGACCTATGGCCGTTTCCATGCAACCAAAAACATTATTGCCCCCTAAATTGTACAAAATGTAAACAAGTTTGATTATAAAAAAAAAAAAAAAAAAAACACAATGAAAACCCTCTGACCTTGTGTTTGTCCTTGGGCGCGGTGTGCCATCGTTTTCCAGGCGTGCCGAAGTGCTCGAGCTGTTCGACAACAGCAGAAGCGGCGTTGCTCCGCTGATGAACGGGCGTACCACCAGAGTGCACACTGAGCCTGGAATGCCCCGAGCCAGTCTGCAGAGTGCGATAGTACTCCCGGGCGTGGTGCCGCAAGCCCGAGGGCGAGCAGTGCGAGGACGACGGCGCCGGCGAGCACGAGCGACTACTCGACGGTCCTAGCCCACACTCGGACCGGCAGTCCTGCTGCTGTTGGTGGTGATGTTGCTGCTGATGATGATGGCTGTTGTTGCTGCGAGCCATCGTGCTGGAACCGCTCCCGTTGTAGCCCCTTTCGAAGCTCTTCGAGGACCGCAATGGCTCGTCCCTGCGCTGTTGGTGCAGCTCCCGGCACGGTGTGTCTGTTGGAAAGGACAAAATGACGGAGATAGATATATCATTGGTGGTCATATATTTCTCTCTAGGCTGATCCTAAAATGAACGCTTTACGATTCTCGATTGCATAGGTAGAGGTGGTGATGTTGGAAAGGAAAATCTTTTACTTCGGATGGAAAAGTTTACCCTTAAAGTATTTTCCACGTGGACTAAGGGACCAACAGTCAATAAAATTAATGAAAAATTGGAATTTCCCAATCAAACCAGATACTTGCTGTGCCCTTTGATTTAATAATAGCATTAAAACATGTACTAATACAATCAAATTCATCCCCTCCCATTCGAGAGAAAAAAAAATCATGCTCTTTCAGCCTTGCAAGAGTATATATACACGAAAACACCAGGCTACTCTTTCGGTCGTTGTAGTGTGGCTGGGTGCCGGAATTTATTATCCGACCAGGTTGCAAGTATACCGGTATATATATATATATATATATATATAGGTCCCTAGTCGAGAGAGTTCCACCACCCCCTTCTCACTCCCTATATACCTCGCTTACGAATGAACTTCGGGACGTATATATACTATGGGTGTACCTACTTTTGCAGTGGAAATACGAGGGGCCCGGGGTCGCACATATTACACGCGAATACGCGGCAACCAGACGATGGATAGAGAGGGTAGTGTATGTATATACACACAACACACGCAGCGGAGATTTACGATTATGCGGGGTACAGCGGGAGCGTTGATGCAAACGAATCTCGAAAGCTTGATTTAACGCGCATTATGCGAGCGAGATTTGACGCCGCTGCTCAACCTGCATACAGCTGGAATGGCTTATCGAGAGGTATGACTTTCTCTCTCTCTCTCTGGGTTGGTAGGCTGTCGCGTCAGCGTGTACATATATATGTATATATACGTGGAGACGGAAGAGGCCGCGTGTAGCTATACCGCGCCCCCGCGAGTTATTCGATCTCGCTTGTCGGCGTTAGTTTTCGGGATTGGTTTTTGATGCCATTAGGAAAATGACAGCCGGAGACCGCCTCCCCGCCCCCCCTCCTGTTTGCGTTGTAAATTTTGAAAGGATTTCACCATTGTGCTGCTGTTGCGAACGATAGTTCCCTCTGGATAAATATATATAAGCGCTCTCTCAACGATTTATCGATATTATTTATTACCACGTGTTGATGCTACCGTTTGGATCGGCGCTATTATATTGTTATTCGGGATTTTCCAGCACGTACGGACAAACGATTATTATTATTCATACGTACAGAAATATAAAAGCAAATAAATAAAATAAACGAATATAAAAAGCACTCAAAGCGCTGAAAGCTTTTTTAATTGAAAGCTGCGTCCCGTCCACTGCAACGGGCACCGCTTTGTATGTATATATATGTACGGGCAGAGTTAATCAAGTGCAGCACGCGCTCTCTCGCCTCTGTGTATGAGGAAATCCATAGAGAAACTGCTATTTATTGTTGGTGCTAAAAAATAAAAGGGAATAATTTTTTAGAAGGTACACCACTGGAAGTAGGTATCTTATTTTTGGTATATCATACTCCCCAGAACAAAGGAAAAATACTTTTAACGAAGAATAGTTTCGTTTTTTGAGTATACCTGATTTTAAATCAACTTTTTTTTTTCACTTTTTTACTTTTTTTCATAAATACAGCTCTTGAAATCAACTTTAATTTCATTTCTGAAAAATCTCAATAGGGTCCACAGAATCAAAAATTGCTACGAGTAGAAGATTCCACGAGTTTTGTCGAATTTGTTCAATATATGTTGTTGTCAACTTTCGACAGTACTTATCATCATAATATTTAATGATTAAAAACGTGAACGAAAGCTACTTCGAAAACTACAAGACCGTATAGAAACGATAAAAAACACAAAAAAACTCTTTCAACCTATTGTTACCATTTAACCCATGATGCAATTTTGGTGCACCTCATCTCGAACACGATTGCGAGAAGAGCCCAAGACAAAAGGACGAAAAGGACAGATGAACAAGTATTTATACGAACCCGTGTTGGCAACGATGGCATATGTCGACTTGTACTGCGAGGACTCGACGAGCGGCGAGTTGAACTGCTCCATGGTAAGGGACTCGTGCAAGCTCGACACGTCCTCGGGCAGCATTTCGGTGTCGATCTCGAACTCGTCCTCCTCGACGGCAGCGACTGCGGCTGTGGCACCGGCGTCGCTGCTGCAGGCGTCGTCCTCGTCGTTCGGGGTCTCGCGTCCGCTGGCGCTCAGCATCCGCCCTGGCGCCAAATTCAGCAGGAAACCCTGTTTGCAGGAGATGGTTAGGCAGTGCAGGGGGTGGGGGTTACAGCCTCAGGGGAGTAGAGTGGTTTGTGATACACCGCAGCTGCTTTGCAAATAAGGATGTAGGGATTTTTCTTCGGAAAGTTTTTTGCTGCTAGGGGGTTGAAAAATCTCTCGGAAACGATATTTTTGAAGAATTTTTTTGGTGTAAGGATTTCAATCTGCCGCTCTTTCCGTGTTTGCGATCGATCGATGTTTTTGGGGATCGGAGAAGGTATTTTGGATTTTGAATAATCGAAAGGAAACACGACATTTGATCCGATGGAAAATTTTTTACGTACATCAGCGTAACATTCACGTGAACCATTTACAGGATTAATCTTAACGAAAAACACGATGCATCATGTATTGCTCTCCGTGAAGTTAATTGCTACTTTAATTACACTCGGTGTAATAATCTTGGAAAATAAACAAGCCCCTTTTAAAGTAGAGAGGTTACCGTTGCGTGGATTCAACATTTCGGAAAATTATACTCGTTCGGCTGGTTAAAAATAATATCCGCAAGGAAATTCGGAGACGACGCGATTGTGATTACTTGCGGGATTCCTACAGTTTGTTAAAACTTGTGGATTTTAAAATGTAATTACTTGGGAGCGAGAAGTTTGCCGGAGTGAAGGGGAAACATTATTTACCTTCATGTTGATGGCGAAGCCAAAAGGGTTTTTCAGAACGGTGGGCGAGCTCTGCAACTTTTGCCGCCTGCTGAGAAACAGGATGATGAAAAAGACGAGCAGCAGGAGCAGAGTTATCGCGGTCAGAACCCCAATGAGGACCTCCACGTACTCCTGGCCCTCTTCCCTCGCTGTTACTGTAATTTGACAAATGATATTACATATGAGTGATTGTAATTGTGTTTCGAGCAGGTTACTCTTGACTCGTAAATTCGTAGTGAATGTTGGTGTATTCAGGACTGAAGTAAAAATCAACGTGTCAAGTAGTGGTAAAAAACGCATCGCAGATCTTCTTCAAGACTAATCGATCGCTGTAAACAAGTGGGTGACAAGTACGTACATTCACACCGAAGCAAAGGGCAAATCACGTAAATTCAGAGTAAAGAGATTTTATTTACATTGAGATAAAAGAAAAGAGCTTTGGCATTGTTTTTTCATTTTTATCTTCATTCCACCTTCCAAGCTACGCTTGTATTTCAGGCGAGACGGTTCTCGTGATTTCCAGAGGTATATAAAAGAACTAGCACATACCACTTTCTTTTTTTTGTTCATCCACTTGCCAAAAAGATACCGCGGGAACTACTGCTGGCCGCACTATCGGAGACAAGTATAATTATGCCACAGAGCCGGCGTGTCGCCCCTACCCCCTTTTTTTCCTCTCTCTGGCCAGATTTTCCCTTATAATTTCCATATATGTTACATCGCGATTGCACTTAATGGACGAAAACGTAAAATGCGCGGGATGATAACGCAAATGGAGCTTACAATTTCAGTCGTATGCTTGAAAAAAAAAAAAAAAACAAATACCCTATTCAATTTTATTTCACCAGGGTAGGTACCCCCGTTTATCATAATTAATGGATCTTGGGAACTCTACACACTTTTTTTTACTACAGATAAAAAAAAAAAAAAAAATCTCCAAACGATTGCTTCGACAACGTCAACAAACAAACTTCAAAAGAGAGGACATCCCCACGTGTGTTGTACGTATACCGAAGACACATACAGGCACAGCCGGTGGGGCGAAACAAATAAATTAAGCCCCAACAATATTCCCCCCTGCGCGAGCGGGAAATTTATTCCACTGTGGCAGTAGCAGATTCGTCGCAGTCTCCGGCAACAGCCCCCCCCTTCCCGGCTGAAAGAATCCCCCTCGTAACCCAGTTCCTTCCTTCACACTATACACGTATATACTTGCGTACCTCGTCTACGGAGTCGAAAGTTTAGCCCGGCCTCCCTCGGCAGCGCCACGAGACTTTGCCACTTAATACACCTAATTGTTTACGTTGCGCGAAACTTGCCCCCCGGTGGAGGGGGGGGGGAGGCCCAAATTATAAAGTAAGACCCCGCACCGAGAGGTGTGTATAGTATCTTGTGTCTACGAGTCGACTTTGGCTCGTCGGTGCGGGTGAATCTAGTTTCGCGGGGACGAAGAATGCCGTAATGAAATTACACGGTGGGAAATCCCTGGCCGCGACGAGGGCGGACTCTATCAAGGTGTAATTCGAGAGCCGGCGAGGCTGCTCGTCCGTGAGATTTACCGAACCAGCTGGAAAATGGGAAATTTCGGGCGAAAAGTGGAGCGAGAGGAAGAAGAAGAAAAACAAAAAAAAAAAAGAACCCCCCAGGGGGGGGGGGGGGGGCTGCAGCTGGGTAAACAGAAGCCGGGCGGTATTATTCGTCACGATTTGGGCGCTGTTTGCTCTCTCGACTATATACGTCCAATATATATATATGTATATATATATATGTAGGATACGCTCGAGGGTTTCCCAAAGAGGGGACGGGGACAAGAAGAGTCCCCCCCGCCCCTTGGTCTCTCTTGTGGTACTTTGGCGACAAGTTTGATTGCTCGAGTACACGTGCATACATCACTCACGCGTACGAGCATATACATACGTCAGATAAGTTGTAGGTACGTGTGTGTACATACTCGTTTGTAAGTTGAGATCCGCGTCGTGGTTGACCGGGGCTGCACTGGCCGAGCCGTTCTCGTTGCTGATTTTGGACGCGGTCTCGTCCTCGCTGCTACTGACGTTCGCGTATGGGTTCCCTGGGAAAACGAGATCGAGAAGTACATCTATATATATATTATGTAGATGGGTGATTGTTGATTTAGTAAATTTTCAACTTCGGGGAGCTAAATTTGAGACTTTTTTTTTTTGCATATGTACACATGGAGTCTGGTGCCGTGTGTCGTGGCTGGCATGCGAATGGAGCAGGGGGTGAGTTTTTTTTTTTTCGAGTGGATGTGGAATACTTCAAACTCCCTGTCAAGTTCGGTGAAAATTACGGGAGTTTGGGATATATTTTAGTCCAAGTGAAGCTTCATATTTGCTGGAGTTAAACATAAGATAAGTAAATTTTTTTTTTTTTTTTTTTATTATCATACGCATCCCTGTATGGTAAAGTGCACTGTGTACTCGAAAGTTTTGCGAACCTTTTCGTTGAAATATTTTACCCATACAATTTATACAAAATACTCCAAAAAACGGAGCTTTTGCTATGTAATAGTAAACAAAAATAGAATTGTTCACGTACGCCACGGCCACACCGGCCAACAAAGTTTGATCATTAAAATTGCACGGCACAATCGTTACGCGGCCAATTAAAATAGATAAATCCAGCATGATTTCGCTCGCCCGCGTGCGTATCTATTTATGGTATACCTGCACCATATATGCACCAGCCACATGTTCCGTTGACGAAAAAAAAAAAAAAAAAAATTCTCATGCAGCTCGCAGGATATTTCTCGATCGACGAATATACTCACACGAGTCGAAGGTGATCTCGGATATCATTATCCAGCGGGCGGCAAAGTACAGCCGGAACCTCAGGGACTTGCCTCGCCTGCCATGCAGACCGATGGACACGTTGCGAGCGTTCTCCAGATTCGTGTCCGGTATGTACGTGTAGGTGACCGGCTCCTGCTGCAGTCGCTTCCTCTTTTTCTCCTCCTCGTCCTCGCCCTCCTTTTTATCATCGTCATCCTTACCAACGTCGAAATACCTCGGCTCGACCGAGTCCGCCTGCGCTTCGTCGTTGTTGCTGCTGCCGTTATTATCACTCTCGTTGAACCAGATTTCCGCTCGCTCGAAAACCTTTTAATACAGAGAAGAGAAATTTATTTTCCTGCAGGCTTTTCTTTTTTCCGTGTTTTTTTTATGAGAAATGCATTCCCATTTATTTTATAAATATAGATTGCAAAAAGTGCTTTTTCAATCACTCGTTCCTTTGAAACATTTGTTTACTTCTCATCCTAATTTTACGTTGATACATTTATTTTATTCTATTTTCATACCCACCCAGTTTTTGTTTTTAAGTGCGCAATTCGTGGGTTTCCATTATTAGTACTTTCATACAAATTGATTTGCATTTATTTATTGACCCTTTGTTTTCTGATTGTAAGCAAATAATTTGTTTTGTATTAAATTCGTTCAAAATAAGTATATGATGCTTTCACGATATTCCTATACAATCATACAACACATGCACATCTACATATACACTTTCTAAGTGAAAAAATTTTTGTCTTTCACCCCATAAGATATTGTTATATTGTGAAAACGCTTTGAAGATTTTGATACAAGGTAGAAAAAAAAAAAACGTCGATCGGTAGTGCTGAATTGGATTTTTTTTTAATCGATTAGAGATTTCATCGTACGTGTTAAAAGTCACCCGATATTTCAACGAAATTATCGAACCACCACCGCACTTCCGCCACTCATAAAATTTCACGCGATTTTCACGTCACTATTGAATTTCGAAAATACAAAAGATCTCCCTCTTTCACTCCCGTAGCTGTCCCCGATCGTCCATCCAAAATCCAATTCGGAACTGATTATTTAAAATTGACGTTTTTTACCGTTGACGCGTCAGTTTTGCTCGCCATGTCAGCCTGTGTTTGCTGCTCCGAACGAGTCGAATGAGAATGACAGATTTTTTTGTACTTAGTGGTACATACGTCAATGCATGATAATCATCGTTCAAACTGGGTCACGTTTCATCACAAAACTCTCCTTCCACCCTCTCTAGAGAGGACATCCCCACGTGTGTTGTACGTATACCGAAGACACATACAGGCACAGCCGGTGGGGCGAAACAAATAAATTAAGCCCCAACAATATTCCCCCCTGCGCGAGCGGGAAATTTATTCCACTGTGGCAGTAGCAGATTCGTCGCAGTCTCCGGCAACAGCCCCCCCCTTCCCGGCTGAAAGAATCCCCCTCGTAACCCAGTTCCTTCCTTCACACTATACACGTATATACTTGCGTACCTCGTCTACGGAGTCGAAAGTTTAGCCCGGCCTCCCTCGGCAGCGCCACGAGACTTTGCCACTTAATACACCTAATTGTTTACGTTGCGCGAAACTTGCCCCCCGGTGGAGGGGGGGGGGAGGCCCAAATTATAAAGTAAGACCCCGCACCGAGAGGTGTGTATAGTATCTTGTGTCTACGAGTCGACTTTGGCTCGTCGGTGCGGGTGAATCTAGTTTCGCGGGGACGAAGAATGCCGTAATGAAATTACACGGTGGGAAATCCCTGGCCGCGACGAGGGCGGACTCTATCAAGGTGTAATTCGAGAGCCGGCGAGGCTGCTCGTCCGTGAGATTTACCGAACCAGCTGGAAAATGGGAAATTTCGGGCGAAAAGTGGAGCGAGAGGAAGAAGAAGAAAAACAAAAAAAAAAAAGAACCCCCCAGAGGGGGTGGGTGGGGCTGCAGCTGGGTAAACAGAAGCCGGGCGGTATTATTCGTCACGATTTGGGCGCTGTTTGCTCTCTCGACTATATACGTCCAATATATATATATGTATATATATATATGTAGGATACGCTCGAGGGTTTCCCAAAGAGGGGACGGGGACAAGAAGAGTCCCCCCCGCCCCTTGGTCTCTCTTGTGGTACTTTGGCGACAAGTTTGATTGCTCGAGTACACGTGCATACATCACTCACGCGTACGAGCATATACATACGTCAGATAAGTTGTAGGTACGTGTGTGTACATACTCGTTTGTAAGTTGAGATCCGCGTCGTGGTTGACCGGGGCTGCACTGGCCGAGCCGTTCTCGTTGCTGATTTTGGACGCGGTCTCGTCCTCGCTGCTACTGACGTTCGCGTATGGGTTCCCTGGGAAAACGAGATCGAGAAGTACATCTATATATATATTATGTAGATGGGTGATTGTTGATTTAGTAAATTTTCAACTTCGGGGAGCTAAATTTGAGACTTTTTTTTTTTGCATATGTACACATGGAGTCTGGTGCCGTGTGTCGTGGCTGGCATGCGAATGGAGCAGGGGGTGAGTTTTTTTTTTTTCGAGTGGATGTGGAATACTTCAAACTCCCTGTCAAGTTCGGTGAAAATTACGGGAGTTTGGGATATATTTTAGTCCAAGTGAAGCTTCATATTTGCTGGAGTTAAACATAAGATAAGTAAATTTTTTTTTTTTTTTTTTATTATCATACGCATCCCTGTATGGTAAAGTGCACTGTGTACTCGAAAGTTTTGCGAACCTTTTCGTTGAAATATTTTACCCATACAATTTATACAAAATACTCCAAAAAACGGAGCTTTTGCTATGTAATAGTAAACAAAAATAGAATTGTTCACGTACGCCACGGCCACACCGGCCAACAAAGTTTGATCATTAAAATTGCACGGCACAATCGTTACGCGGCCAATTAAAATAGATAAATCCAGCATGATTTCGCTCGCCCGCGTGCGTATCTATTTATGGTATACCTGCACCATATATGCACCAGCCACATGTTCCGTTGACGAAAAAAAAAAAAAAAAAAAATTCTCATGCAGCTCGCAGGATATTTCTCGATCGACGAATATACTCACACGAGTCGAAGGTGATCTCGGATATCATTATCCAGCGGGCGGCAAAGTACAGCCGGAACCTCAGGGACTTGCCTCGCCTGCCATGCAGACCGATGGACACGTTGCGAGCGTTCTCCAGATTCGTGTCCGGTATGTACGTGTAGGTGACCGGCTCCTGCTGCAGTCGCTTCCTCTTTTTCTCCTCCTCGTCCTCGCCCTCCTTTTTATCATCGTCATCCTTACCAACGTCGAAATACCTCGGCTCGACCGAGTCCGCCTGCGCTTCGTCGTTGTTGCTGCTGCCGTTATTATCACTCTCGTTGAACCAGATTTCCGCTCGCTCGAAAACCTTTTAATACAGAGAAGAGAAATTTATTTTCCTGCAGGCTTTTCTTTTTTCCGTGTTTTTTTTATGAGAAATGCATTCCCATTTATTTTATAAATATAGATTGCAAAAAGTGCTTTTTCAATCACTCGTTCCTTTGAAACATTTGTTTACTTCTCATCCTAATTTTACGTTGATACATTTATTTTATTCTATTTTCATACCCACCCAGTTTTTGTTTTTAAGTGCGCAATTCGTGGGTTTCCATTATTAGTACTTTCATACAAATTGATTTGCATTTATTTATTGACCCTTTGTTTTCTGATTGTAAGCAAATAATTTGTTTTGTATTAAATTCGTTCAAAATAAGTATATGATGCTTTCACGATATTCCTATACAATCATACAACACATGCACATCTACATATACACTTTCTAAGTGAAAAAATTTTTGTCTTTCACCCCATAAGATATTGTTATATTGTGAAAACGCTTTGAAGATTTTGATACAAGGTAGAAAAAAAAAAAACGTCGATCGGTAGTGCTGAATTGGATTTTTTTTTAATCGATTAGAGATTTCATCGTACGTGTTAAAAGTCACCCGATATTTCAACGAAATTATCGAACCACCACCGCACTTCCGCCACTCATAAAATTTCACGCGATTTTCACGTCACTATTGAATTTCGAAAATACAAAAGATCTCCCTCTTTCACTCCCGTAGCTGTCCCCGATCGTCCATCCAAAATCCAATTCGGAACTGATTATTTAAAATTGACGTTTTTTACCGTTGACGCGTCAGTTTTGCTCGCCATGTCAGCCTGTGTTTGCTGCTCCGAACGAGTCGAATGAGAATGACAGATTTTTTTGTACTTAGTGGTACATACGTCAATGCATGATAATCATCGTTCAAACTGGGTCACGTTTCATCACAAAACTCTCCTTCCACCCTCTCTTTCTCTGTTTTCTGATTTTTTTTTGTTTTATTATTCAGCGATACTTGTCGAATTTTATTATGCAAATAAGACAAAGCATTTGAAAATGTGTTTAAAAATTTTTACACTAAATATACTACAAAAACATACTTTCCCAGTATTATATTGTGAATACTGATGAATTCAAACATTTACAGCAAAAAGATGGTACTTTAGTTGGAAAAAATTTTTTTTTCCTCTCTCTCTCTTCCGTGTAAACTGATAAAATTAGAGTAAATCATAAAAGTTGAAAATGTTAGATCGATTTCAAGTCCAAAAACTTTTCGAAGCAACAAAATTCGAATTTTGTCTCAAATGGCCCTTATTTGGGTTAGTAGTCATTGCAGCCAGATTCTCACATGCAATAAAACTAAATCTACGTATGATTTTTTTTTTTTTTTTTTTTTCTTGACAAACGAGTATACATAAATAATAAAGTTGTTTGTCACTCCACCTGGCAGGTGTTCAACCGTTCGACGTTTACCTGAACATCCCTCTTGAAGTAGTTGTTGGTGAACACGTGGACAGCATTGAAAATCCGGAGATTGTCGAAATTAAAGTCCATGTCAACGTAGTCGTCGGTGATTTTGTCACGCATCCAGGCAACCCAGCCAGTCCCTGCGAACCAACACACACGAAACAATACTCAGCAAGATCAGCACCGAGGAATAATTCGTTTGATTACTTTCGCGTCGAATTAAAACCACACGCGAACTCTCGGGACCGAGAATACGAGCAAACGCGGGACGAATCAAGTTGCACTCTCTGCTGATGCAGTATACAAACGACGATATTATTGTCTCTCTATTCTGAAAACAAAATGCATCAAGCGCCGAGGAGTTAAATTTTAATAAGATATATCCCAACGCGTGTCGTTTCATGAATATTTCGCCACTAATTACTCCGATTCGTGAGACACGGTGCTTTTGGTGAATCGATTCAGAATGACTCACCTCTGCCAGGGCCGATCTCTTGCTTGTAATTATCGGCTCCGGTCTCTCCGTCGACCAGCCGGCCCAGGCCACCCGAGAGGACCCCGAACCCTCGCGTGCCGTCGTACGACGTGTCGCTCATCTCCTCGATCGGCGGCTCTGGTATTGCGTAGCTCACGACTCCACCTGCAATAACAATAATAAAGGAATATCGCCCCTCTTGTGCGATGATTACATATTGCAATCGGCGATTCACGATGACGATTGAAATAAATTAATATTACATGTATATATCCAGCAAACATATCGATCTTATATTGTACGTACGCGTAAGTGTACCCATCATATTGCACATTAATTTAATATCCACTCTCGAACTTGATGGGATATTCGCATACACGCCCCGGCGCGTACAGTGCAATATACGCTCTCTCCTTGAGCAATAACGTTAAAAAGCACGCGGGGCAAAAGTTTATTGTGCTCGGCTCGCCAGTGCGCGTACACAAGCGGTAATACATCACGTTCGCTAGAGTATGTAGTATATTTTCGCGCTTGGAAATTACAGGTGTGCGCACGGCTATATACATATACATACATACACGTGCTCACGCAAGGGCAAACATCGATTAATAATCAGATGTCGATTTCACATATTATACAAATGCAGCATGTATTTATATATTAACACGGGGCCGAGTGTGTATATTTATCGCGTGCGCTCATCTCGGAGTTTTTTTCCGTATTGGCCATCGTTCCGTCATGTATATACGAATGTCGAACGAATAAAACGGCCCGGCAATATGGTCTGATGGATCGACGCTTGTAAATAGTTTATTGAAAAATACAAAGGGTGAACGCTGCTGCTCGTATTTATTGCCGTTTTGTTCGTTTGACAAGAGCGACATCGAAAACAAAACATGAAATGGATGCTCCTCTGACCCAGTTTTTTTGCGCATTTTTTTACAACATTTAAAGGAAATAGTGTAAAATGCTTTTGTTATGAGAAAAAAAACAAAAAAAAAAAAAAAAACCAAAAAAACATGTAGATTCATCCAAACTTTGAAAAAACTAGAAACCAAAGGTAAAAAAAAAAAAACAACCCCTGTGTCCATTGTACAAGTATTTGTATTAAAAAAGTAATGTACGAGTATTGAAAAACATCCGAAACAATAACGTGTCTTTGAAAAGCCCTCGACACTCGCTCCTCTTCGGCGCTAATATCGACTTATTATTTTTCCCTCCGTCAAACACATTGTATCCACCCCCGTACGTAGCTGGGCAGCTAATAACCCGCGTCGCTTTACAAACAGCACGGAGCTGCGGACGCGTACAGCTCATACCGAGTATTTCTGGAAAAAGGGGCGAGCGTCCCCGGGTTATCCTGTCAGGCGCGAGCCCGAGACGATGAGGATTAAGAAAAACAAAGAAAAGGAGTAGACGCTCACGCGAGACGCGGGAGGATACGGAGGGTTAGCCGTGTCGGGGGCTTACGTATACGTCGAAGAAAAGATGAGGCGTGTGCCCAGTTGGGGCTACGGTGTATATATGTACACGGACGAGGAAGGGGCATTATTGCCGGGAGTCTCGTGTTTTATTGGGACGACGAGGAGAATCAAGAAGAATAACAGAGAAGGCCACTCGGCAGTGGAGGAAGACGAAGCCCCGAGAAAGAAAGGGACGGTAAGATATTGTACGCCAGCGTCTCCGTGGGGTTATTAAAAAATGATAATAATGATAATCTCTATTGATTCCACCAACTCCCTTTTCGCCTCCCCCCCTACCCCTTGGCTACCGTATTTTCTACTAACTGCCTTTTATTGCCCGCCAAACTCGGGGATAATAACCGATGCTCCCGGTCCAGCGAGAGGGAGGGGGCGAGATCTCATGCACGCATTAATCGAGGGATTTTGCTTTTTCGTTTTATCACGGCCTTTCATTACCCGCGGCTCGTTTCATTTCGGCCAACGCTGTAATCTCCACTCCCCATGGGAGGGAGGGAGGGAGGCAGGAAAAAAAATAAAAACACAGTGCACACAGTTCCGTGCGTTGGGAGAGTTTCTTTCGGGGCTCTCCGTTCTGCTGGTGCGCGCGTGTGCGCAGGTAAGCGGTTTTCCTTGCCCACGCGCGGCGACAATAAAGTTCAATCTCCTCGTTTTATTAGCTGGTAATTAAAGTGTGCCCTCCCTCTCCCCTCTCCACAGTAGTGGTTGCGGTGTGTGTGTGTACGCGTTACAGGGGGACGCTATTAGTTGTATTATAATGCGCGGAAGGTGGTGGTTGTTGTTGCCACTGTCGTTTAAATACAATTTATTCGCACCGAGAGCCGCGTTAATCATCATGAAACGAGTTTTTGCTCGTTTCACCCGGTAACACTGCACGCGGGCGTCCGTCTGATATTTATAAGTACATTAACATAATTAATCGACAAATTCGTTGTTATTAGTGATTTTTTTTTTTTCCTACTTGCTTCGTTTTGTTGAGTGTGGATTAGGGAAGTTGTCGAGTTGTGTCATTTGAGTGTGATAATAATGTATCTGGTGCTTTGGTGCGCTACTGGGGTAGCTGCGCCATACATGGTTCCGAAACACCTCTCGCGTTGTTGAATTTTCTATTGTTGAATTTAGTATATAATATATATTATATGTCATTTTGTTGTCATCTTTTGTGACCTCTTGATTTTTGAGCCACATGAGAGGAACATTGTGTTATCGTCCGTATTTGTGTCACATTTAATTGGTGAAATTCCTAGCTAATATTTACCAACCAGCGAAAAACCACAAAAACCCCTTGCCTTTGTTCTCAACGATTACACTGACTAGTAAAAAACATGAGACACACAAAGAGCAAGGCCGAATGAATATTTTGCCCAGTGAACGTGTCAAATTGAAACGCAGATTCCAACACCACTGCAAGTGTTCACATGGTTGACATTGCGCGTACGCGTTTAAACGAGCGCGAATTCCCCCTGAAAGGGAGTACAGCGCGAACACCCGAGCGCCAGAGAGGTAGGGGGATTTTCCACGGAATTACACATACACCCGTGATAATTGTTTCGAAGGACGATGGTGTGCCCACGTCTTTCCTATACACACGCGTGGGGCAAAAATCAGCGGGGGATGAACGCACGTAAACGAGCTTCAAACACCCGCGCAATTATTACGTACTTTTGTCCCCCCGCACCGGCTGCTCGGCGAATTAATTTTCCACCCGTGCGCTTGTCGCAGCCTGTGTTGGGGTCTGTTGTTGTCGTCGTGCCATATATTTGTCGGCAGGGCTCGGCCCGGCGAGACTCCCGCAGAGCTTCGCTTCTTCTCGTCGGGCTTTCTTATTGTTACTCTGGCGAGGCGCAAGGCATCCCCCTCCCCTTCCGTGACAACTAGGTCAGCTTGGACAATAGTCGTCGCTCCGTGTCTTGGATGGACACCAGCTTTATGTAAACGCGTTCAACTTGAGGTGCCATCAAACGTACACATTTGAGAAACGAGGATTCATTTAAACAGGTAAAGGTAGAAGAAAAAAAAAATGTCAATGAATTTCGCTCTTAATTTGATCGCTGAAACGTCGCAAAACTACACGTCCCCCGGCTATTTAAAATTAAGCCAGAGCAACACTGCCTGGAATATCCAATCGCTCTCCCTCGGTCTGCAGCACCCCCTCCCGCTCTTCCATCGGCTGGACGAGGTCCAAACGGCGCGAGACTCAATTTTTTCCCTCCCACCGCGCGAAGAGTGGAGAGCGAAATTAATAATGAATCGCGCCCGCGTGGGTACATATAAGGTACAGCCCCTTTCACTTCAACGGCGTGTTCAAAATTGCTTAGGTGGTGCGCTGGTGGTGTTTTTTTACAGCTGCAGGGCGGCCGGGGCCAATGTGTCACGCGACGTTTTAGTCAATTTACTTTTGAGGGGGGCACGCGTGTAGCATATGGGCGAGAACCCCCTCGCGCGAATTCATCCGCGATTCATTTTACTTGGTCACTTTGCGGATATACGATCAACTTGACGGGGCCGGGGCTTAATTGTCCTGCTTTTCCGGCGATTCTTCAAACGCAAGATGTACGTTATTTTTCCTTTGTCTCGTTCACAAACTGTTGTGCGCGATTGGGCGAACGGAAAATCGCGACAAACCAAATGAAAGTTACAAGAGCAGTCACTAAAAGACGCGTTAATTTTTAAGTTAACTTTTGCCAAACAAGCGCAGACTGTGTGCACCGAGAGCTAGTTAGCAAAAACCAGTGTGGTGGCAGGGGATGATGGTTAGCCGGATACGTGTACCAACGTGGCGAGGGAAGGGCAAAGAGTCCGGAAAATGAGGGGCCAGCCTCCAATTAATGAGACGTGCGCGTAGTACGCTAATGCGGCGATTACGTGGGGATTTCCAAGAAGTAATCCCTCATGCGTAAGGGCCCTTTCTCTGCTCTGATGCTCGGGCTTTCGTTGGTTTTGGGGAATCAATTGAGGGCCATGATGTACACAGTTTACTGATTTTTTTTTGTTTGAGTTGCGGGTTATTCTTTTGCGTTGAGTTTACTTTTTTTTTTCTTTGGTGAAGCAAGTACGTAGTCGTGATTGAGGTAGGTTATTCTAAAGAGGTGATTTTTTTTTCGAGATCCGAGTGGATATAGTATCCCTTTGAAGTTATTCGAGAGAAAGATCCACTGCTCGATGAAAAACTTGAATCAACGCATTAGCTCAATTGTTACACCAATACTGTAGTCGGTTTGTTTTAAGGGTATTTTTACTTTTCCCCCAAGTAGTGATGGAAAAAGGTAGAGACCTTGTAAATATGACGCAGTTAAAGTTTTCGATCAACTTGACAAGTCCTGTAAGGATGTGCTCGCATGTATTTTAGTTACATCCTCACATGGACTGAAAGGAGTTTGAAAAGCACAGAGAATTAACCAAGTCCACTGACAACGTACAAAACAATACCCTACACCGTCACCAAATACTCGATAATGGGATCGAAAAAAGTGTATCTCAAGGCCTCTTCCCACGACATCAAAGAAACAAAAAAAACTAGGAAAATTCGATTTCGCGCGAAATAACCAAAAGCTCGAGCGAAACGAGGCTGGACATTAGCTCGTGTGTCGGAGCCCCTTTTTTTCTACCTCCAGCTCTCGTGGGCACAGTCGAAAGAAAGAACCCGAGCCTTTGGCCCTGGATGCCGTGCGCGACTCCCATAAA